CCTTTACAGGTAGTAGGTAAACTAGGGGTTTCAATCTCCCCAACGAAACTACACTCCATAGATGTCTTTCAGCTTTTATTTATATTAAAAACAATTCTAGGACTGGAGAGATGGCTCAGTGGTTAAGAGCACTGATTGCTCTTCCAGAGACCTTGAGTTCAAATCCCAGCAACCACATGGTGGCTCACAACCATCTGTAATGGGATCCGATGCCCTCTTCTGGTGTGTCTGAAGACAGCTATAGTGTGCTCATATACATAAAACAAATAAAATCTTTTAAAAAATCCTAGGTTCCTCAGGCTTGCTGCAGTTGACTGAGAAATCTACTGAGTGAGGCAGAAGAATGTTAAAAGCTGGGGGAAGGGGCAAAGGGTTGTGCAATGCTGTCTTCCAGGCATACCATGGCTCTTACACTGTTGAGCTCATAGCAGCCATGATTAGCCTGAATTGTGAATTCACAAGACCTGAACGTGATTGGGCCTATCAACACATGAGGTGGGAAGAGACTCCCAAGGCCCTATCCTTCCTTAAGGGAGCTGTAGACAGTTAATGGTTGCTAGGGAAGGTAGAAATATTTTCATTGGTGATATAGCCACTAGCAAATTGCCCATACTCCTGTAATTAACCTTAATTAAGTTATTACACACACACACACACACACACACACACACACACAGACACAAAAGCATGAAGGAAAGTAACTGATTAGGAGGAGGAAGGTGTTAAGGGGGTTATGGGGATAAATATGATCAAAATACATTATGAACCTAGTGTTATGTCTGATTAATATGTGGTAATAAAAACTTTAAAAGAATCTACTGAGTGAGTAAAAGAAAATATAATTTTATTTGAAAGCAATGCAGCTGTATTTTGGTGTTTTTGGAGTGGAAGATATACTAAGCTATGCACTCTAGAGTTTTCTGGAAGAAGAGAATAAAGTGCTTTTTCTTTCGTGTTTTACGTTCTCAAATTCACAGAAATACGCAAACAGTAACGTGGCAGAGAGTAAAATACTCAGCCCATTTTCTGCCTTCCCACTCCTGCCCAAAGCCATGGGTTCTTGGAGGCCCTACTCTCGCAGCGAGCAGGCAGAAACCGGAAGTCCATCTTGTAGGCTGTGGACCTCCGGCTCTTTGAAGTTCACTTTAGCGGAGGTTCTGTTTGAAAAGACCAACAGGATGTAGTCCACAGCGGGATGCATGTTGTTTCCAGAAGCTTCCTTTAGCTGGGGAGTGTTTTGTATGGTGTGGAGTCTGACTAGGCCCCTTTGGTAAAATGCCGGCATGCCTGTGGGGCCTGAGATCATTCTGAGGCCCTCCCATGATTTTCCCTTTTTTCTTAAACCTCCAGCTCCTGCCACCTCCCTCCAACCTCAGGCTCCCCCGCTCCCCACCCCCTCTCCATTATAGATGAGGTCATTAGGCTCTGCAGTCAGAAGTGCATTGCTGTAACTTTAAGTGCTGTTGTAGACTACAGAAATGAGCGGGCTGGAAGAATTCTGCAGTGTGTGAACAGGCTCAGCGTCTCCATTTCTTACGCTCACTTCTTTCACATGTATCATTGCTATCAAGCTTATTATAGGATGTGGACCATCGTCTGGGTTTGTTTAGCTTCTTGGGGGTTGATTGGATTTCCTGTGCTTTCTTCTGTGAATATCCAACTTGCCAGTTTTCTCAAGGAAGGGGTGTGATGGGAGGAGAGAGGCCAGACTTGGGTGGGACTTTGAAGACATCTTCTAAAATAAGTTGTGTTATACAACCCAGGTGGTGGGGAGGAAGGTGGGGAGTGGTCAAGAGAGGCCAGGAAGAGTGCAGAGAAGATGCAAATCTGGGAATCCATTACCTGGTGGGATGAGTCAGCTACTGTAGGAAGGACATTAAGACCTAATGGGTTTGAGTTTCACCAGCTGCCACCCGCCATAGTTGCTTTTGTCTGGGTAGGGCCTCCTCAGCACCCCCCACCCCCCACCCCATGCAAACCATGGCCCCTCAGTGAGCCAAGCTCAGCAAGGAGAGGTAGCTTCCCTCAGGTCTTGCTCATGCCTGGGCCTGTGGAGGTGAAATGCCTGAAAAACACTTACACTCGTATCTTGGGGGGTATTCACCAAAGAAGACTGCTCAGACATGGGTTTAAGCCAGTCGAAAGTTTTTATTAGCCAGCCAGCAACTACATTGGGTGTTGAAATTCCAGAGTCACCCCCAGGCTTTCTCAGGGTGAGCTTTTAAGCACACACAAAAAAAATCATATTCTGGGCTGACATATTTCAATTAACAAAAGCAATTAGAAGCAGAACCTAGGAAGTTAAAAGGCAAGGTTTAGTCTAACATTTAGAGACTTTCCCAGAGGCTTTGATGGATTAGGCCTTTGTTTTAGTTTTGGCAGGTGGTGCTGATTATGTGTTAGAGCCTCAATAGTACTTCCATCATGGCGTCAGTCGTGCTAAGGTGTGGGGATGTGCTAAGATCTGGAGAGCCACTTTCAATTCCATGTTCATCTTGGTGAAAACTCCTTTTAACAGTCTAATGGGGATTGACTAGCCCGTGACATTATCCCTCCTTTGAGGGGTACAGATTTCTTGAGTTCTTTTTTTGGCCAGGGGATGGGGGAGGGGAAGCATAATAGATTAAAATATAGGGAAGAATAACTCTTTGAAGAGGAATCTTCAAAACTAGCACAGCGGGAGATGCTTGTATCCTAACACCAGTGTCTCCATCACAGTGACCCCTGACACATACAGTTATGTTACCAGGAGACACTGAAGCCACAGGGGGGAAAAAGGCTTCTCTCTGGAAGCCTCAGGGAGTTCTCAACAGCCCAGAGTGCTGAGGAGAGTCTCTCTTAGCCTATCTGTGACCCATTTGTAACACCTGCTAAAAAGGAAACAGACACGTGATTAGGAAACCTATGCAAGAGTGTTCGTAGAGGCATTATTTATAAAAACAAGAACAACAACGAGATTGGAAGTTAACCTAAATATCCGTCAACAAAAGAGGACCGTGTGATAGAGTCACACAGCAAAACACTATACAGTGGCAAAAAGGGAAGAGCTGAAAGTAAAGGGTTAATAGGGAGAATTCTCTCGGCGTTGAGCAAGATAGAATGTTACACTTTACTGCTGACATGAATGCTAACTGAAATGTACCAGAATAATAAATAGCAAGTTCTGGAAAGTACTTACCTGTTAGGAAGGTCCAGTAATCAGGGAGAACCATGAGAGAGCTGAGTTGGTTTTGCTAATAATCCCTTAAAGTCCCAGGTAGGCAGTACATACTGGATGTACACTTAGAGGCTTGCCTTTCCATATCTGTACACTTACCCCTATGGACTCAACCAACTTTGTTTGAAAGAATTTAGAAAAAAAAAATCACTTCTGCACTGAGCATGTGCAGATCGCCTGGCATCAGACCCTGAACGGCACATACCAGCAATTATTCACATGGCGCTGACATTATAATAGGCATTATAGATCTGGAGGTGATTTAACACATGGAGGGTGTTAGTTACACTATTTTATAAAACAGACTCAGTCTTTACTGAACTTGACATCTGCAGCAGGTCCTGGAACCAACACACTGCAGACACCTTTGTTATATGCTAAGTGTTCTGCAAGAAATTTTAGCAGTTGAGGCTGGGGGTGTGGCTCAGTTGCTAGAATGCCTGCTTAACATTCAAGAATCCCTGAATTCTATCCATAGGGCTTCATAAAACACTGCTTGCCTGCAATCCCTGCCCTGGGGAGTAGAGGCAGGAGGATCAGAAGCTCAAGGGCATCCTATACCATAGTATGTTTGAGGCAGTCTGGGCTACATGAGTCCTTTCTCAGGGGGGAAGAAAAGAAAAACAAAAAGGAAAAATTGACAGTTAAGTAAGCTATGGGGAAGAACACCTTTAGATTTAACTGGAGCTGGGTACAGAGTTCAGACAGTGGTGGCCTTATCAGCCATTTTAAGTTGGGCTCTCATGTGAGGGCAGAGGGGACCCACTTAAGGCCTTAGACAGGGAGTGATTCCATTAAATCGGAATTTAAAAAGTGACTGTTTTAGTGTGGAGGCAGGGTTTGGGGAGAGAGAAGGCGACTCTGGAGAGCTGTAAGGAAAGGGCAGCGGCCTCCCAACTACAGAGCCCCTTGTTCAGGAAGGCTACACAAGGCACAGGCCACACCCACAGGACACAGCAGTCAATATTTAAAAAAAATCCTTAGGGGCTGGTGGACGGGCTCACTGGATAAAGGTGCTTGCTGCTAAACTGAGTGACTTGAATTCAGTTTCCAGACCCACATGGTAGGAGTGAATAGATTTCCTGCAAGTTACTCCCTGGCCTCCACAGATGTTTGAGTGAGCATGCACGCACACAGTAACTAAATGCAGTAACTTATTTAAAAACTCTTCTATGTTTTTATAGTATGTCTGTGGCTGCATTTTTAAATGTTTAAGCCTTTGATATTCGTGTGATTTTTTGTTGTTTATTTTTGAGGTACTGAGGGTAATCCAGGATTTTCTCTTTGTAATGGTTTTCCTGTTAATCATATCCTGCAATCTGATTGGAAAGACCGACAAGTTAGGTTTATTTGAAGCTTCATTCAATAAAGAATTCAAATTTTATGTCAGGTGTCCAGAACCCATGGAAAGCTGGTAGTGGACGTCTGCAATCCCAGTGTTTCTGCAGGAGATGGGAGGTAGAGACAGGAGAATCTTTGAAGCTTGTGGGGTCCTGAAGTACACATTGGTGAACCCTGTTCACAAAGTTGAAACGGGAAGATGGAAACCCAGGGTTGTCCTCTGACCTCCACACATGAATGTACAAACACACTTATACATACAGACATATTATACATACATGTTGTACACACATGCATGAGGAAATAAGGAATAATTATTTAGGATATTATTAGAACAAAACAATAATTCATATTTCCACAATAATTTGTATTGTGTTTAAGTGTATGTATGTGTGAATTATAGGTTCTTCCAAGTCAATCTGAGTTCCTTCTTATTTTCTAGGGATATTTTGAAGACCATAGCCCTGGGCCAGATGCTGTCTTTGTGTATTTGTGGCACGGCCATCACCAGCCAGTATTTGGCAGAAAAGTACAGAGTGAACACACCCATGCTTCAGAGTTTCATCAACTACTGCTTGCTGTTCCTGGTTTACACCGTGATGCTGGCATTTCAATCTGGTATGTCACATGTGGGAATCATCGTTCTATAAATGTGTTTTTCTTTTTTTACATGTGTATGTTGTCTTGTGTACATGTGTGTATGTGTGTGTATGTTTGAGTGTGTGTGTGTGTGTGTGTGTGTGTGTGTGTGGAACCTAGACCAACTAGGAGGGTTCAGTATTTCCATTTCCATTGTGTAAAACCACTAATATGTTTGTTACCTGCTAAGGGGATCAGTGTTGTTCCTATAAGGCAAGATTTATAACTCCCTCCCTCCTTCTCTCCTTCCCTCTTTCCCTGCCTTCCTCCCTCCTTCTCTCCCTCTTTTCCTTCCAAGGTACTAGGGATTGAACTTACAGTGTTGTTCTCAGTCCTCTTTTTACATCTTTACTTATTACACGCTGTGTGGGTCCATGTGTGTCTCTGTATGCATGTGTGTTGGGGCGTGCATAGAGGCTAGACAAAAGCATTGGCTGTTCTTTTTTGCAGTACTCTCCTGTTTTTGAGGCAGGGTGCCCCCCTGAACTTAGATCTGTATTTTTAAGCCCCAGAGATCCCCCTGACTCCACCTACTTCGGAGTTGTGGTCACAGGCATGTATGCTTGTTGTCGCTTTTTCCCTGGGTTCTGTTATCTGAACTCTGCTCTGTAGCCCTTTGTAAGTTTTAAAATAGTTGTTGTAAATAACTTACCAAGCTGTTCTTGAACTTTTAACTCTCCTGCCTCAGCCTCTTGAGTAGTTGGGATTATAGCCACCAGATCTGGCTATTAACGTTATTACTATTAGTTGTTATCACCACAAGGAAATCGAAGCCAGTTGTGAGAGTGGAGAAATGCGTTAAGGTACCTTAGTTGGCAAGATCTCTAGACCTCTAGATCTCTAGATCTTGAGGTTGGGCAGAAGTAGCTTACTTGTGATAGCTTTGGACTCTTCATTCCTTTGGAGGCACTCACCTTCAGGAAGACAGTGTGATTCACAAATACATCAGCGTGGTCCCTTGAAGCCACTGCTGTCGTGTGCTTTCCTGTCATGTGTTGAGGACCCAATCTGGATTTTCAGGATGTTCTTGGTAGCTGGAATTTTACGATGCAGGAATCTTTCTGGAATAAAGACTCCGACACCAGGAAGCCCGCCAGGCAGTCAGCCGGTTGTTAAGAGCAATGGCCCGTTGTTTCAGCCATTTTTCCAGATTGTTCTGTTCCAGGTAGCAAATGAAGTCTTTTCTACCTTATTTTATACTACTTTAGTTATTTGGTTAATGTTCTTGATCTTAGCCGAAATGCCAAGAAGTGATAGCCATTTGGTTGCAATATGGATTTCATTTCTGAGATAAAATATCTGACAAAGGCAACTTAAGGAAGCAAAGGTTTATTTTGCCTCTCAGTTCTTTCTTTCCTCCCCTCCTCCCCTCCCTTCCTCCCTCCTTCCTTCCTCTTTTGCTCCCTTTTCCCCTTCCTTTCTCCTTCTTCCCTCCTGCCCTCCCTCTTTCCTTACCTCCCTCCCTTCCTTCCTTTCATTTATTTCTGTTCTCAACCATACATCCCGGGCTGGTTTGGAGCTCCTTTGTGAAGACCAAACTGGCTTTGCACTCATAGAGATCCAGCCTCCTCTACCTGCTGAGTGCTGGGATTAAACGCTTGTACCACCGTGCCCTGCTATTTCTTTATAGATTATCTTACCACAAAGCCTTCCCAATATATGTGCCAGCTCTTGATCTCCTGTGAATCCAGAGATGAGTAAATCCTATTTAATTTAAAGCAAGAGAATCGTGGTGTGTGTAGTGGTTAACAAACATTCACTCGTGGTGCCACTAAGGCTTTCCCCAAGTTTATCACTGGCTCGAATTTCACTTGAAAGTATGTCTTTTTCTAAAGAATGACCTTGCTGTGCTTTCGTCAAAGAAACTCATGCTAGGGGGTTTGATAACCAATTAGTTTGTCAAAACATTTTCTTTTCCAGAATAGTCTGTGACTTGCCAGGAATGGCTTTAGTCGTGCTCACAGACGGATATGTTATTTATTATTATTGTTTGAGACAGGGTCTTACGTCTCAGGCTGGCCTTTAATTCCCCATGTATGACCTTGAACTGCTGGTCATCCCATCTTTACCTCCTGATTACAGCTGTGTATCACTGTGCCGGGTCTATGTGGTGCTGGGGATGAAACCGAGGACTCTGCAAGTTAGGCAGTCACCCTACCAACTGAGCCCCATCCCCAGTCCTGAATTTCTTATTTGTGTCCTACTGTTTTTCACCGGGTCTCTCCCTGGTGCTTTCCTTGCTTAGCTGTGTAGTCTCCAGCTTCCTACTAGGCGAACTTGGTGGTGATGGCACAAATGTCTGGCCTCTGGGTAGTTGAAATCAGGACAGGCCACATTTTTTTGTTGTTGTTGTTTTTTGTTTTGTTTTGTTTTGTTTTTAAGACAGGGTTTCTCTGTGTAGCCCTGGCTGTCCTGGAACTCACTCGGTAGACCAGGCTGGCCTCGAACTCAGAAATCCGTCTGCCTCCCAGATTTAATGCTGGGATTAAAGGTGTGCGCCACCACCGCCTGACTTGACAGGCCACATTTGAAATACACAGCAGACCCTTGTTTTGACTTTCTGGTCTACAGATTGATGTGTGTCACTTCTACTTACCCAGCTTTTTCTCAACCAGGCAGTGATAACCTTCTGGAGATTTTGAGAAGAAAATGGTGGAAGTATACTCTCTTGGGGCTTGCTGATGTGGAAGCCAATTATCTGATTGTCAGAGCGTACCAGTACACAACTCTGACCAGTGTCCAGGTAAGAGAGGATTTGGACATTTTGGCTTTTATGCTTCCTAGAGAAGAGGAATGTACTCGTATAAGTTTATCTAATTTTATTGCAAAGCTGTGCATTCCACTAAGCCCTGAACACAGGGGATGATAGGTGCTTTCCAGTACAGCGTATGCTCTGCAGACTCACATCTTCTGAAATCACTGACAGCATATGCACGTTAATCTCTTTCTAAGTTTCTTACACTATAGCAGATCTGAACAGTGCTGAGCAAAATAAGTGTAAATATTTAGCTTGCACTTGCTGTCGTGATCTTGACAGGAGTTCTGATGTGCATTTGACTCAGAAGGAAGTATGGCTTTGTACTGCAAAGGTGGAGGTTTGCAAGCCAAGCAGGACATAGAAACCCACTGATGGATCTGCTGGACATACCAGGGAGAGGTGTCAACAACAGTGAAACTCTTGTCCCTATTCCTTCATAGCTTTACTTTAAAATTCATTACTGTTATTACTGTGTGTGTGAGTGTGCCATGGTTCCTGTGTGGCGCTCAGGAGACATCTGTATGGGGTCAGTTCATTCCTTCCACCTTTACACGCACGAGTTCTGAGGGTTGAACTTGGGCCTCCCAGCTTGCCCAGCCAGCACCTTCACCCATGGAACCGTCTCACCAGCCCATTATAGGCTTTATTCTTGCTGTGTTGAAAGGAAAATATTCCTTCATAGCATTATGTCTTCACTTTGTATTGTTGAGAAAGACTGAGTCCAGTTGTCTTAGTGTTCGTGAAGGATGAGACACGGCACGGTCTTGCCTTAACAACATGTTAACATGTGACTTAACAACATAGCAACCAATGTTCTGTAAGTGTCTGATGGGTCATTCAGGGTTCAGTGATTCTGTAACTCTTCTGTCTCTCAACAAAAGGTCTTGCTATATGTCCCCGGATAGCCTGGTACTCAACTCACTGTGTACTGAACTCACAATCCCACGACTTCAGCTACCTACTCCCACCCCCAAACCCAAACCACAAGGGCTAGGATTACAGGTAGGAGCCACTATGCCTGGTTCCTATAGCTTTTTTTTTTTTTTTTTTTTTTTTTTTAGAAATTTTTGAGACAGGGCCTTGTGTGTTCCAGGTTGGTCTCCATTGTAACTGAGAGCGATCCTGAACTTCTGGTCTTCCTGCCTCCACCTCCCAAGTGCTGTGACTGCAGGTATACTCTGCCACATTCGTTTTGTGCAACACTAGCTAGGGATTGAACTCAAGGCTTTATGCTTGCCCGGCAAACACTCTACTCACTGAGCTGCACTCACCCTGACCCTCCTCTTTCAATTTTTATTAAGTTAAATTTTATTTTATGTATTTTTGTGTTTTTAGTGTGTGTGTGTGAATCTTTTGACTGCATGTTTGGGTATATACCATGTAGATTGCCTAATGCCCTCAGAGGTAAGAAGAGGGTGCCAAACTCCCTGGAACTGGAACTACAGACAGTTGTGAGCCTTCATGTGGATGCAGGGACCCAAACCTGGGTCCTCTGCAAGAACACCAACTACTCTTAACTTTGAAGCCATCTCTCTTGCCCTGTGTATTACTGTTTTACCTGTGTGTATGTGTGTGTGTATTTCTGTAACACATATACGTGCCTGGTGGTCACAAAAGAGCACCAGATCCCCTGCAATTGCAGTTACAGATTTTTGTGAGCCACATGAATGCTGGGAATTGAACCCTGATCCTCTTGAAGACCATCCAGTACTCTTAACCACTGAGTCTTAACCACGATATCTTGTTGAGGTTTCATTTTTCTCACTATCCTAACACAGATATATTCTTTAGATCTTCAAATTCTAGAAACTATCAATAAATCAAGGTGAAATGAAACATGTTTTACTTTGAAAAGGCAAGGCTTGGTGAAAGTCAGTGTTTTCCAGTGTGATCATAGACTAGATAAATGATTGTGCCTCTAATCTGGTCAAACTCATTTTTATATCCAGGTCCCTCCTATATGAAGGTATGCAGTACTCTGTTCACAGTGACAATATGATAATTAAATAAAACCTTATAATAAATGAAACTTTTGGAACTGAAAGTATCAAAAATAAACGAACGAACTCCCCCCCACCCCCTACCCCCACCAAGAAAACATTCAGAAAGGAAGTTCCTGTAGATACACCCAAGGTGACAGATGTCAGACAAGAAATGGTGGCATTTCAGAGTGGGTAGAACCTGAGATCATTAGATCTGGTCGAAGCATTTTGTGTTTTGGCTCAGAGACTGGCTGGCTGGAGATTATTCAGTGATAGAGTTTGGGATGAAGCCTCTGTGGTTCTTCCCATGACATAAGCAACTCTCTCAAGGTCATGGCCCCATCCAGGGTTCTAAAAGATAGACTAGCTTTGACCGTGTTAAGCTGTTATGGCTAGACTCCACTGGTGTCTTCCAGGACATTGTTTAGTGGTTTCATATTCAGTTATGCTCAAGGAAGCTCAGGGAGACTAAAGAGTAAGTAACATGGCAGGCCCATGACTACTGATGGTATGCTGGCTGCCAGTGATGACATTGCCATCAAAACAAGCAATAAACTGCTTTAGTTGGGATCCCACAGACTGCTGGGGGGCTTAAGGCTGTCTTAACAGTCATTTTGCCCATGACTTAACAGACATGGAGGAAACTAGGAGCAAACTTAAAACCCCACAGACTGAGCATGGACATTTCACGACAATAGTGTATGGCATATATTTACATTTTATTCCTGAATATACTTTAATGCATCAAGAATTATCCTTCAGGAGTTGCAGAGATTGCTCCATGGTTAAGAATGCCTGCTGCCCTGCAGCTAACAGGAGTTGTCTCCAGTGTGTACATCAGGTGGCTCAGAATTGCCTGCAACTCCAGCTCCAGGAGATTCAACACTCTCTTCTGGCCTACACATCCATCTGCAAATTAAAACTTTTTCCAATGTATTTTTGAACATGCACACACACACACACACACACACCACACACACACAAACACACACACACACACACACACACAATGTCAAATTAAGAACTGAGTAACTGAATTCTCTCTTCTTTCCTATCTTGCCATTGATTTTGGATTTGCTATAGTTTGAATACTCCTTGTCCCTCTTTGATAAGAAGAGCAGTTATGAGGGATACAGCAAATAGCTTATGGACCCCAAATGATGGAGGAACATATGCTAAAAATAAACAGGAATCTGTGCTGGGAGCAAGCATGTCTCACACGGCAGAGCTGAGCTCTCTCTGTCTGGGAGATGGTGTCTGTTTGTTGCCTTACTGTAACCTGTACTTGGTAGCACTTTGGTCAGTTACAGTAAAATATTGGACTTTGTGATTTCTTTGTGTGTGTGTGTGTTGTTGTTGTTGTTTCGGTTTTTTTTTCAAGACAGGGTTTCTCTGTGTAGTCCTGGCTGTCCTGGAACTCACTCTGTAGACCAGGCTAGCCTCGAACTCTTGAACTCAGAAATCCGCCTGCCTCTGCCTCCCAAGTGCTGGGATTAAAGGCATGTGCCACCAACACCCGGCGACTTTGTGATTTCTAATTTCATGTCTGTGTTCCTCAGGGCAGGGCTTCCATCTTGTTTAATTTTCTATTCCATCATATTTCTATGATGTACACCCCACAGCCCTGTGCTTACCAGGCAAGCACTTTAATACTAGAGCTGAACACCCAAACCCTTGTACAGAGTCCTGGACACTGGACATGCTTAATAAATATCTGTTGGCGGCATAAATGGATGTACTGGAAGGAAACTCTGCCTTCTGAATTTAAAGATAAACACAGAGGGGAAAGCAGAGGCTCCTGAGTAGAATGATCAGATTTAGCCTTTGAGCGGCTTTGTTTTGAGGAAGGTCTGATGTGTCCTAGGCTGGTCTAGAGTTTGCTATATAGTCAAAGATGACCTTGAACTCCTAGTCCTCCTGCCTCTACCTCTACAGTACTGTTTTGTACAGTACTAGAGACCAAACCCAGGGCTTTGTGCCTGCTAGACAAACACTCTATTAATTGAGCTTCATCCCCAGCCTGACTTTTAACCATATGATTTGGGGCAACTAATCTCTCGTTAGCCTTTGGGTTTTTGTGTGCACATCTAAAACAGGCTTGCAGTCCCAGTCTCACAGAGGGACTGTGTAAATGAGTCAGCTCAGGTAAGTGCTTGCATTCAGCAATAACAAATGTTCCCTAAGTGCTTTCTCTTGTTAGCACTCAATTATACTGCTGAGATGGCTGAGGCTGCTTGCTTTTCTTTCCCTGCAGCTCTTGGATTGCTTTGGGATTCCTGTTTTGATGGCTCTCTCCTGGTTTATTCTCCGGGCAAGATACAAAGTGATCCACTTCATTGCTGTGTTTGTCTGTCTGCTGGGTGTAGGGACCATGGTTGGTGCAGATATATTAGCCGGGCGAGAAGATAATTCAGGTGAGACTGTGTCACTTGCTCGGCCACTGGAGTGTCTTTGTTCATGTTTTCAGGTTAGTCTGGCAAAGTTACACAGAAGTGGGTGCTAGAGGAACTCTTCAGCAGGTTCCTCAGCAGGAGTCCATACTGTGAACAAGTGTGTGCAGCTTGTTGGGCTGGCCTCTCCTCAGTGAGGTGTGCTGGCTTCCTCAGCTCTTGGCTCTTCCAGTAGCACTTTCTCATTTGCTGCTAAACATTTGGTGGTTGTTTTCTTGTTTAACTGCATTTTCCCATTTAAACATGTTTAACATTTTATTTTGAATATATTTGTAGAAATCATCTTTTTCTTAAATCATTTTGGATGTGTTATTCCGAAACAACTCTGTTCTCTTTCCTTTCCTCCCTCCCTCCCTCCCTCCCTCCCGCCCTCTCCCTCTCTCTCTCTCTCTCTCTCTCTCTCTCTCTCTCTCTCTCTCTCTCTCTCTCTCTCTCTCTCCA